TCATACCATCATCGCATTTTCTTATGCACTATAGAACATTACCACCATGATATATACCGTTAATATATGTTTTGAATTTTTTATTTCAAAATATATCAAAGTCAATGTCATTTCCATCAGCACGATTAATCTATTTTTTCCTTCAAAAATTTTAAATTTTGAATGGAAAAGAAAAAGATAAACTGATTAAATTTAATAGAGAAAAAAAATCGCATTCAATAACCAAAATGTGGTTACTGACCCTCAGTGGAGGATCTAGGGGGTGGCCACCCCGGGCCACGGCCCAGGCCTCCCCTGGATCTGAAGTTAGTGTAGCCTTTATGAGTTTATCGATTTTTAGTCATTCGACCCAGTGTTATTTTATAATAGAATTGTGTGTAATTAGAAAAATGAGTAAGATGAACATATTCAAATTACAACTCTAAATTTAGCCTGAAAATTCTAGCTCCAATGATTCTCGTCTAAAGAAAAACAAACAATGAAACCTAAAATTCTAAAACGTAAAAGACTAAATGAAATATGAGGTTTATTCCGTTAAGAAATTACTAGAGCAGCTGTGAAAATAGGAATTGATACACAATATATATTGATTAGTCGATTGATTTGTCTAGTGTTGACATTGCTCGTTTCAACTACTACTATGGAGAGAACCTTTTCAACAATGAAATAGGTGAAAATTTATTTGCACAACAAATGAACGATGAATTTCTCACCAATTGGTTAACTATTTTATCTTAAAGAGAGTATGCGATTGATATGGATGTAAACTCCATTATTTATGAATTCACTATATTAAAATTTAAAAGATCAACGTGTACAATTGATATTGTAAAAAAATTGTGATTTTTTTAACGGTATCTAATTTTCTAATAGAATGCGGCTTAATGCTCTACTGTGTCCTGAATCCGTCTATGCTGACCCTTGAAATACTTAGTTGATCTCAAAACATGGTTTCTTGGCTAATTGAGAAATTACTTTCCTGCACTAATTTGGTAATTTTAGCACCTTTACAGTAAAGAAAGGTAAAAGTTGAGCAACTGCATGGACACTTTTGTCACGTCCCGTGCATCATAATTACCTGACTTTCTGCGTGTGTGTTTTTTTAGAATTAATGGCATTTAGTTTGGATTACAAACGATAGCATAGCACTCTATTATACTCTTAGGGTCGTTTGGATTAAGCATTTTGATTTGAGGGATTTATAAGGGATTTGCACTCAAATTCTGCACTTAAAAATCCAGGTAATTTAAACAAGGAAATTGAATCAATTTACTTGTTTGATAAGGGATCCAGAATTGTCCAATGAGCAATTTAGATTTTAATGACAAACCTAAAATTACTATTTTGCCTCTGCTTCGGATGATCTCTTCTCCGACGAAAGGGAAGCAGTTGCTTTGAGATTCGCCGGTCGGACAATCTTCTCTGCTTCGTCCTGCCTGAAAGAGCATACGCAAAGCAGAGCAAGTAAGAGGACTTTTCCCTCCATAACCTTAATCATCTCCTATGGGCTATTGGGCTAACGAAGAGGCGGTGAGAACAATGACGGTTGCGGAGCGGCGGTCAGGAAGGAATCAAATCGATGGTGAGACGAGATGGCCGGCGGCGGCTAGGATGGATAGAGGAGTTGCAGAGGGTTGATTCAGGGATGGGGAGGATTTGGCCGACACATGAACATGGCTGAGGGTTGCGGAGCGGCGGAGAGATTCAGGGAGGATATGGTCGGCGACTGATGGGCTAAACCGAGGGTTGGGTGGATGTTCGAGCCGTCGACGTCGCTGTAGATCGGAGCTAGTAGAACCCCGCCGCAGTCGCCGACGATGCGAGAAAAATGAAGAAGGAGATAGATGGTTTCTCGTATCGGGAGGGAAGAAGGAGATAGAGATGGGAAAGAGAGGTTGGAAATGGTGAGTCGGTGAATAAAGGGTGAGGGCAAGAAAGGAATAACAAAAAATAAGAAGGGACAAATTGGGAAGATTGGGAAAAAATTGGCAGAGATTTTAAAAAACATGGGGTCCATCAGCTATTTTAAAATTTCTGATACTAGGATTTTTGAAATTCCTAATGGGTAAAATCTCTCATTTTTTTTTCCTATCCAAACAAAGAATTGTGACAAAATTCCTTATGACAAGGAATTGTGGCAAAATCCCTGCCCACATTTCCTAATCCAAACAACCCCTTAAGTATTTGTAATTTGGTGTACAAAATGAATCTACACTATAATGTTAATTGTATAAGTTCAGTTTGTATCATACAATAAACTTTTTACAAAAATATATAAACACTGAATTTATATATATATATGATGCCTTCTATGGTACCCCGGGTGAAATCCGGGGTACCGCATACCTTGAGTATGAAAACGCTATCTAGACCTCGAATTAGCAGGATTTTTGGGCATGATACTATACCCTAACCCTTAATGAGTGAACCCTAGGTCCTAATTATCCAAATCATAAACTATAAACCCTAAGATGATGCATTGATTTTTTTGCCTATATTTGGACGAATCATAACCGTCGATTATTGTTTCTAATTAAATTGATCTTGGGGTATAAGATTTAGAGAATTAAGACCTAGGTGTTTATCTTTAAGGGTTAGAGTATAGTATCATGTCCGAAAGATCAGTCAATTCAAGTTCTGGATAGCATTTTCTTACTCAAGGTATACGGTACCCCGGATTTCACCCTGGGCACCGTAGAACTTCCCATATATATATATAAAGTTAGCGGTGTGATATTTTATGTTGAAATAATGGTTCAAATATTTTATACCGCTAAAAAACACCTATCACATAAACTCCAATTTAGATCAAACCGTTAAATACGATACGATATTACAAACATCGCGTTGAATACGGGCATTAAAAGGTGGTGGAAGAGAATAGGAAATTGGCATTTACTATACGAACGGCGGGGAAAAGCAGTATGTGTATTGTATAAGGCTGATTCGATAGCTCTCTCTCTCTCTCTCTCTCTCTCACGTCTCGTCCGTAGCTAGAAAGAAAGATAGAGCATTTTGGTTTACTTTGCATATTGGCCACCACACAACACAAGGCTATTCTGATAACAACACGCATCACATAAATTAGAGAGGAGAAAAAGGGACGGCCAAAGAAAAGGAAGAAAGAAGCTGTTTCGCTCAACAAGCGATGCAAAAGCTGCCGCAAGAGAACCGCTCCCCTAAAGAACACAAACACGGCACAAAACAAGAGGTTAACCAAAAACAAACATATTGAATCTGTCTTTGCACTTCGCACAACGCAAGGGCCAAAGAAGCTCATCAGAATGATGCCGCTTCATTTCAACCCCGTCAAAATTCAATACAGGTTCGGCTCTTTGTATAGAGCTATGGTTTTCGCATCTCCACATCGATAGCTAATCAGACAAGGATATATGTCATGATTTTTACAATCAATAAGTTGCATGACTATGCACATAAATTTCTAAGATAAATAAATAAATAAAAAGATAGATTTTGATAGAATTGGAGACATAGTTTAGAAGGACTAGAGAATAGAATTAGAGATTCCGACGAAAAGAAGGGTCGTTTGCTACGTGAATTTGAAAAATGAAGATTTTGATAATACCCGAGTTTTGAAATTGACTTTTATTGTCCTTATTGGTATGAGAAAAGAAAGAAAGCAAGAGGGATAATTGGTCACAAATGATGAATTTCAAAGTCTGTGATCAATTCTCTCTTAAAAAAATGAAATTTCAACCCTCAAAGTTCGAAAATCTCCCATATTTGTTACTTTCAAATACATGAAGCAAACAACCAAGCGAACCCATCAGACAAACAACCTCTGACAAAGAAGGAAGAGCAAGGCCATCAACCCTAAGATGCTATGTTTTGCTGCATTAATAAATCATTGAGTTGTAGAAAGAGGCTTTGATGAATGCAACCCTTTCTTCCTCCAAATTCATTTCTTCCCCCATCTCCCTCTCTCAGCATATTGCATTAATAATTGGCACCCACAAACAAAAAGTGTCCCTCCCATAGTCCCCATATGTCAGTCCCTCTCCCTCCCCCGATACATAAAAAGCATAAACAAAGAAACAAAACCAAAATTTCCACCCTACCATTGCTTACTACATAACGCACCCAATGTTTGTGTGTTTTTGGGTATTTCTAGGTGTCAACCATCTAATAAATGCTTTGCTTATGCACCCAACCAAACCCCATCTCACAGCTCATGTAATTACCTCTTTGCTTTTAGCTACAGCCTCTAATACGATTTTACAATCCGCAGGAGCATTCAGACAGTCCAAACAAACCTGTTATATGGGTGCTAAGTTCTCTATATGTATGACCAGTTCAAATGCTTGATCCTATGGTTTACTTGAATAAGAAAAGAAGCCAACCAAATCTACTGTTCCTGCCCATCAATCCTTTATCCTACCCTGGGCTTGAACAACATCAACACGCAGAAAAGAACATCATGCACATTTAAGAAATTCATTGTGAAAATTGGCACAGCTGTAGGTTGTTTCCCAACCACATGGGGACTTTCTTTTTTTTTTTTTTAAAAAGAGGACGACTTGGGAAACTTGAAAGCTAGCTAGCAAGGTAGCTGCCTGCCTGCCACCACTGCCAGCTTAATAAAATGAAAATCCTACTAACAAAGCAACAAACTTCACCTTCCCACTGCTCCATAACTTACCCCATCCGCCAGCCGCAGTATTGTCATGTGCATTACCACCGCATTCACATTGTCACATGAATGTAAAGACTAACTTGAACCCTTCCTTTAGGGTAACTCTGTAACTGCAGCAACAGGGGAATTAACCCCAGGAGTCCAGAAAATAAGAGATGGCTAATATGATCTTCTTTCAATTGCCCGGTCACATAAACCATGGTAGATTATGACTATTATCCAACAAAGTACAAGCAAAGAACTCATATGGGTTGGTGTGAGATCCAAGCTACTATCTTCCGTAGTAGGGACTGACTAACCAAGGTGAGACATAAGCAAATGACATCTAAGGTCTCAGATCCAGGGCCTCTCTAAGTAAATAATACCCAATGCAGTAGCTTGTTACAAATGGAATATACTAACAAACCTATAAGCAGGGCAATGTGTGAGGCGTGATTTCAGTCATTGATGCAAATAACTGAGATCACTGCACCAAAACAGCAGCCAGCACAAGATGGTAAACCCAGATAGAAAAGGCAGCTTACAGAAGTGAACATCTCTTCTTCCCCCGTTCCTCCCCTTTCATCTTCTCACAGAGTACAATTCAACATATCACAACCCGTGAATGAGGATCGGTGTGTTGCAGGCTTGAGAAAAAATCTGCACAAGAACAGCAAACATTGAACCATGTTGTCTATTGTTTTCTCCTGGATGAAAACTGGAATAGGAGCTTATGAAGTTGAAAGCTTACCTCAAGCTGCAGTTTCATCTAGCCATGATGTATGTCTCCATTGAACATTGAAATTTGAAAGTAATATCATAGTTCGCTTGAGTGGATGTACAAAGCTAGGTTCTTAACAGTCTCATCATGTTTTTCCCTTACAAAAGGGATTAAACAGTCTCATTCCAGTACATGGATTCTAGGCAAATAGAGCAGCCTAGTGGTTTGGGCTAATATCCACAAGTTCAACAGAACTAATCCCTACTAATGTGTTTCCTTTGGAAGATCGACTAGAAGATCATCCAGTTCTATGTAATCTCCCTCCATAATGGTTAGTAACTGCTCGTGAGGGTGCATGTCAGGGAACAAGTTTCCTCCAATAAGCCCAGGATTCCGAACCTGCAGACAAGACATTAACAATTTCCTCGATCAGGAAAATTTTAAGTTTCGCAAACAGAGCCAACGGTATAGCCAATTACAAAGTTTCCCAATTTCACTACCTACAAAAATGTTAAAAACCAAGGACACAGAAAAAGCAAACTTGATTAGAGTGATATTTGAATGCTAAATTCATGCAAAGTTAAGAAGGTCCATTGAGATGACTGCAGCATATGCATCTACTAGTTGCAGTGATGATACTCCTTGACCAATAATTTGATAAAAGCAACACATGCACCATACACTAGAAACTTTTTTAGAAGCAAGGAACGCCACCAACTGAAATAAAGCATTTACAATGAAATTATAATGATTGTCGCAGTGTGGAAAAGAAGCACACCAGCTCATTTAGTAGGTGCTGATATCTGGGATTAGAGCCTGGAAAATTCGTGACTGAATCCTCCAGCTCATTGTTCTGCCTCAAGAAGTGCTCTGGCAAATCATTCTCATGCTCATCAGAATTTTCTTGTGGCACAGTGGTTTCAGTAATACCAGGCGAGCCAAGTCCATCACATTGGACGCCAATGTGGCGTAATGCAGAAACACTTTCTTCAGCACACGAACTTAACAGATTCTCAGACACACTAGTTCCACCACGGGTCTTAACGAATACTCTACACAAGACAAAAGAAGCCTGCATGATGCAAACAGATTCAAAAAATTTAGCAACACTCAACAAAATACAGTTAGTATCAATAAGCTTATGATTCTCAAATCAAAGGCATAGTTTGAGGGACATTTAATTCAAGGAAAGGGGAAGTCATTCTCATTGTATTAACATGATATATCCATTTAGAGCAAAGGGAAACATTGCCATTTCAAGGTATCTTCGTGGAGTGAGGAATAAACCCTTTAGAGCAACTACTTCCAACAGTCCAAGCATTGACAAAATAACAAACAGGTGTACCACTATTCTCAAGACATACAACTTTCATTCAGATTAGAGACTACTAGTTCACTTCACTTAGTTCAATTACGGCAATAACTCATGACCTAACTTTCAAAACCAATTTGCAGTCTGCGGCTATCACCGCACAAACCAATCTTTCCAGAAAAGGGAAAAGGAAGCTTGAAGCTCCAACCCAAACCATGATTTCAAACCAATCACACTCTACATTGCGATCAATTGCCCTTAAAAGGTTCCAAGAAACACGAAATTTTACCTTGGAGTGATCAATCAGCGCGTATTCGTACAAAACCCAGTCAGTCCTCAGAGCACTCTTCACAGAATTCCCCAAATAAAACACAAACCGAGTCCTGGTACCAACAACCGCATTCCCGGTGGCGTCCGCCACGTCTCTAACCTTACCAATCCTTCTCCAATACCCTCCCTTGGCGCGCCTCCTCCCATCACCCCTGTTTCCCCCCTTCGAAACCCTAACTTTCGCGTAACAGAACCAGTGCTTCTTCATCCCCATTGAACCGTACGAATAACAGGAATCCCCCGGCAAATCAAACGGCTCGTAATCATACAAGTCGAGCTCCTTTATCAAATCGTATCCATTGCCATCATCCCCTCGATAGTCGCTTTCTACGTCGTTCTTCTTGGACAGGTAGTAACACAGCAGCTGCTGGTCGGAAGGGTAGAACCGGCAACCCGGCGGGAGAGTGAACGGCATCTAATTTCAGCGCTTTGAAACGAATAATTTCAGAGGTTTTTCTGCCGGCGAGACGAGACCGAGAGCAATCGCGCGGCCGGAGCAGAAAGGAGCGACAGAGAGAGAGAGAGAGAGGGGTTTAGAGGGGTTTTGTATATATGGAAGAAACGAAGCTTGTAGATGAAGCTTTCTTCCTCCGTTTTATAGTCCGTTCCAGTGTGACGGAGGAGTACGGTCTGCACGAGTGTTCCCGCAGCAAAAAACGCGGGATGGTGATGTGTCAAGATATCATTGACTGAGTTGTGCAATAACGGTTGACGGAGATTGGGAAACATGGAATATGGAAAGAGCGGAGGTTAGTTGTACAGCTGGCGATGTACTAGTGCACGTAGGATTAAAGAGCCACGTCGGGCTGATAGGTGTCGTGTTAATTTGTGGGGATGATGTTGTCGTATCCGGTCATAGCATGCCACGTGGATAGTTTGAAATTTGAATGCAAGACTTAAGGGGCATAAGAATATAGGATTATATGAATAATACGGTTATCTACTTTGCATATTTCCAAAATAACCCTGTACTTTAAATCATCATTATTTATGATCAAATATTGCTCAAATCATAGTCTTCGTCTGTTTTATTGTCCAATAATCTCTCAACCCAATTGAACAAGTTAGTTAAGATGAGTCATGAAAACAACAAGTTCAAAACTATGATCAATTTTTTTTTTATATCCTCGTGTGGTCGACCGAGCTCCTTTCCGTGTGCGATAAATGACCCACTAATAAGAACCTGAGATCAAAATGTGAAGTAGCATTAATCTCAGTAGATACACCACCTTTAACAAGCTTAAAGGCGCATGAGTCATATATTCTGCAGATAGCCTTTTTATATTACAATAAGCTTCATCCACTGATAGTGTTACAAAATGGGTACTAACCCTAAGAAACACTACAAACAAGACAAACAAGAAAAGGAGAACCCACCCATTAAAGCCCAAACATTGTGTATATACCCTTCAAAAAACAAACAACACAATGAGTAAAAAAACATGGAACTTCCCCAAAACCTAGCTAAAACTGTAACTCCAAGGAAGTCTGTCGCTGATCTTCACCCACATCCTAACTTTGAAAACCAACACCTCCAGATCAAAGATAAAACAACAACCTCAAAGACAACTTGAAAGACAGAAAAGGGAATACGCCGACCCATACGGAGGATGGGTAGTAAAAGAGCCATAGAACCTACGAGGTACACCTAAATCTGGTCTCTACCCAAGCAAAGGTGGACCATTCACCACAAGAAACTCTAAACGAACATGTGAGAGGATGAAACCAGTACGATGGGTGGTCGACACCTGGATCATGAAGATCGAGTCTCTGTATTCTCATCTTCATCTTCATCCAAGCCGAATAAGAAGGATTGCTACAAGTATCTCTGAATCACTGGGATTATCTGGGTGAATCAAGGAGGTAGATGAAAGGAAAGAAAATTAGAAGACAAGATGATCTTAGTGTCAAGAACCAGTTGATCTCAATAACTCGAGTTGTTGGGAGAGGTTCAATCGTGGATCATATACCACAACACTAACACGCCCCCTCAAACGAAAGCCACTCACAAGGGCTGGAAGTTTGCACATGTCCGAAGACAAGAATACCATGTGCTTAACAAATGGGGGTCACTGGGAATCGAACACAAGACCTCTCGGTCACAAGGCTCTGATACCATGAGAAGAACCAGTTGATCCCAATAACTCGAGTTGTTGGGAGAGGTTCAATCGTGAATCATATACCACAACACTAACACTTAGAACAAAATTAGCCCTCTTTTGACACCACAAACAAAAGGTCTCCATATATGATGAATCAGAACAAAGAATGAAAGATAAGCATCTCAAAAAAGAGATCGAAGAAGAGATTCCAAAAACATAATAGAAATCAAAATTACAGCGACAAGAAGCGAAAAGGAAGTAGTTGAAATAAAAGATGGGGAAGCTTCCACCAGACACCGTAGAGACACCAAAAACAACCTGATCATCAATAGAGAAGGCATATAGTTTATTTTCCAGAGAGACGACTATTATTTCTTTGTCTGTCCTTAATAATGTTACTTTAGCCCAAACCATTTGGACCCCTTAAAGGTTCAACTAGGAAGCACACTTATCCCAAAAACCATATGGTACACTTTCACCCTCCAAATATTAATTTTGCATTAGATATTTACCCAAATCTATAGCTTCCTTGAGTTGACCCCACATCAGCCCTAAGACGGTGGTGTCTAACTTGAAAAGTAAAAGTTTGAGTTTGAGAAGCTTCTAGTCTAGTGAGTTTGTATTACGACCTTCCTTGTCTCTCGATGCTTAGAAATTCGTCGTAATTTTTTCGTTTGAAACTCACTCTCAACTTTATTTATTTGCATCTGGACACAACAATCTAACGGTAGGGCTATTTAATTAATGACATGAGTAGTTTGGGTATTATGGAAAATTACGAAGTATACAAACCAGACTTACAATCAGTACAAACCATACAAACATACGAACAATACAAACTAGGACGATAAAACATACAAACAGATTTACAAATAATATGAAACATACAAACTATAGAAATAATACAAACTAGACCGACAAACATTACAAAACATACTAACCGTACGAAATGACACTACTTACAATACAAAACAGTAAACTTGTATTATAAATCAATGAATACAAAGTATACAAATCACAACATAAAGTATACAAACTAGACAAACAAACATTACAAATTACAATGTATACAAATTAATCATATAAACATTACAAACATAATAGATAAAAATGAAAAACTAGAATGATAAACGATACAGACCGAATTGATACAAAATCACTAAACATACTTACAAACATTACAAAATCTTCCGACAAACATAACAAAACAGGCGATGTCGTAGGAAAATCTCCCATCGTCGGAAAATCCTCTTCGGCGTCGCCGGGAAATTCACCAGTGACGAAAAACACACTCTCTCTCTCCTGTTGAGAAAATTCTCAGGAAAGGAAGCAAAGGAAGCATGCATGTTCCCAAATATAGAACGGAACTGTCGCCGAAAACTTGGCTGGCCGGCGCAAACGAGGGAGGATGGTGACTGGCCGGTGCAAGGGGATGGAGATGTAGCACTTGCAGATTTTTTATTTATTTTATAATTAAAAAATAAACATGCAATTACTAAATTGACCTTCATTAAATTGGATTAATTGGAGCTTTTGAATTTTAATGAGGTTGAGTGGCTAAGATTCACTTAGCTAGTTAGCCATGTGACTAAGGGACCCCTTAATCACCTCATCTTGGCCCCTATGTCTTAGACCATCCACAACGGTGGAAGGGGAAAAAGGGTGAAAAGGGTGGAAAAAATGGGGAAAAGGGTGGAGGAAAGGATTTGATCACAATAGGTGGGAGGGAAAAAAGGGTAATGGGGAGGGGTTTTTTTCTTCAAAATAATCTAGAGTTGATATGGTAACTTTATTTTGATAATTTACTTATTACTTGTATACAACTAGTATTAATTAATTAAGACGACCATTTGGATATTTTTTTTTAATTTGGAGATAATTTTTTTTATCGCTAATTAAATATAACGTCATCAATGACGAATCTCAATAATTTGCAGAATACTATAACTCATCACAAGTTTCACAAAATGAGTGGTTCCATCAATTTTTTGACCAACTTTAAACATATTGAGTGGTAAAATCAACTGTCCATCCAACTTTAATCATATTGAGTGGTGCCATCAACTGTTCATTCAGTTTTAATCATATTGAGTGGTGCCATCAACTATTCATCCAGCTTTAATCATATTGAGTGGTGCCATAAACTGTTCATCCAGTTGTCATATTATTGCTGAAGAATCTTTTCATGTTTCTATAAATGAAGGCTAAACTTTGTCAATCCATTCATCCCACCATTCAACCTTCTTCATTCTCTCAACTTCATATTTCTCTCAACACACACATACTTTTTTTTCATCATGAGTTCCCCTAATAGAGAAGCTGATGAGAGGCAACAATCGGATGATGATGCTAGGCAATAGGAGTATGAATGTCAGCTTGACTGTGATCGTCAACAAATGATGGTGATGCAAGGATCCTTCATGTTCCAAGAGCAAGCATCCTCATCTCGACATCGTTCACATTCACGTAAAGTTGTGAGGCGTAACAGGGTAGAAGCACACCAACGCTTGACGCAACAATATTTCGTTCCCAATCCAACCTACGACGCTAGGTTCTTTAGAAGGAGATTTCGGATGCCCCTCTCCTTGTTCAACCGAGTCATGAGTGTCGTTGTTCAACACGACCCCTACTTCCAGCAAGGCCGAGATGCTGCGGGTCGCCTATCATTCTCCCCCGAACAAAAGCTTACTACTTCCCTCCGGATGCTTTCAAATGGATGCTCAGCCGACTCCATAGACGAGACATTTGATATGGGTGAGACCATTGTACTGCAGTGTATGCGTAAATTTTGTAATGCCATTATCTGCATCTATGGTCCCGAGTACTTACGACCACCAAATATGGAGTATCTTCGCCACCTTCTTCATCACAACAATCGACGTGGCTTTCCAGGTATAATTGGTTCAATTGACTACATGCATTGGGAGTTGAAAAAATGTCCAATGGCGTGGCAAGGACAATTTACTGGATACAAGGGGAAGCCAACAATTGTCCTGGAAGCTGTATCATCATATAACACATGGATTTTGCATGCCTTCTTCGGAAGTCCCGAATCAAACAATGACATAAGGGCGCTTGGAATCTCCCCACTGTTCGATGAAGCCGTCAGAGGAAATCTTCCAAAAGTCAGCTATACAATAAATGGTAAAATTTACGATCAATGTTACTACTTGGCTGACGGAATTTATCCTGAATGGTCAACATTTGTGAAAACCATTAGCAACCCTAGTAACCAGAAGAAGAAACTATTTGCAAAATGGCAAGAGTCATACCGCAAGGATGTTGAGAGAGCTTTCGGCATTCTACAAGAAAGATGGGTCATTGTAAGAGCTACGGGTCGATATTGGGATGTACAAACATTGGGAGAGATTATGCTAACTTGCGTTATTCTACACAATATGATAGTTGAAGACCAACGAAATGAGTTTGGAGAAGAACATGTGGAGGCCTTTG